TCAAGTTATTCGAGATGAATGTTCGCTTTGATGATGCTGGCGTTGAGGTAGAAGCAACACCCTCCATGTGGCATGCCTGTAGACGACATTTTCCTGTCCCCGCACACCGCCTGGACCCCCTCGCTCTTGTTATCCACTAAAATGCCATTTTCTTTGTTTGCCACTAGAAATATGACTAACTGCCGGCAACTGAAATCGAATTGTGAAGCTCTGCGCGTTGATTGTGCGTTCTTAGGTTTTCCTTATGGCGCCGGGCAGCGACTTAAAGAGTTTTTGGGGGCTGCTTAGCAAACCAACCCTTAGCAAATGCAGCACACAGCCTGTTTAAAGCTCTCTTTGCAAATTTTAATAATAGACAACACAAAAAAAAGAAACGCACTCACTTCAAAATGCGGCACGCACAGCATTGAGTACTTCAACAGAATGTGAAAAAAATGTATCTAATCCCGCTTCGAGGCTGCTTTTGCAGCAGAATAAAAACCAAAACCCGGAAGCGGGCGACTGTCCACAAAAACAAAAGCGAAAATGTCAAGCGGCAACAGGAATATCAAGCAAAGATGGATGCAACCGACTGCAATATACACTATTCATGGACTGAAAACAGCTGAAAAGCAATGGACTATGTGATTATGCGTTGAGTGACTGTCAAACCGTAAGCAAAAAGCATTGACTCTTAAACTGTGCTTATAAGAGATATAGATATATCTATTTAGATATGAGCTATTCTGTAGTTGGCCTGTAAAATTGACTGACTCTGCCTCTCAAACTGTGGGATAAACAATTTTATCCTATTTAACTACCTCTACAGATGGGCGTGCCCAAGGAAACTGCAGACTTGAACAGGCGCATATGTACATGAATATGTATTCCAAATATTAAGTGAAGCTCCCTGACTTTAAACAAAATTTAATTGGACGAACCAATATACTCTCTAGCACTTTATGAAGAGTGCACGAAAACCTAATGGCAGGAAGCATGTTCAAAATTTTGCAACACTGCATGGGCTGTTAGACAATAACACTGAGCAGGGGTAGCTGAACTTGGGTTGAGATGAGATGTGAGTACAGTGTTGGGGAGTGTATTAAAAGTGTTTTGACAATGCGACGCAGATAAGTGGACAGATTCAAGGGCGGTTGCATTTGAGGCTTATTTACGGGGATTTATTGATAAATGTATTAAATACATAAAAGATAGAAATGCAAAAGGCGGGGTTATTAAAGATAAAAAGCAAGCAGGCTTTAAAAAATTGGATTAAAACTATGTTAGATGAAATATCAGATGCCAGTCTTTCATATATATCATGGTCGATAATTGGAATTATTGTTAAATAAAATTTTAAAGAAATTTTTATAATATAAGGCACTTGAAGAAACGCACTCTATCTACTTGAAAACAATTTTAATATTTAAATATATATCTTCAAATTCGCCACAAAATTCGGTCGATGAGATTAAAAAGTGCTTGAATATTATTGAAAAAATCGCAATATTTTTCTTTTAGAAAGAAAACTCTGGATTCCATTAATATACATTTTCTATTGACTCGCCCATCTATAAAACCTAATATTAAGCTGTCGATCTCTTAAAGCAGGCCATTCATTTTTATCAGAGTAGGTATTTTGTAAGCCAAGAAAATTTTGTAAAAATTATATTTTAAAGAAAATAATTATAGTGTTGATAATTTGAAGGAATTGTATTCAACTGACAAACTATATTGCAAAAAAAAAGAGTACAATATGAAGTTTGGCAAGACCTTTGAGAGCCATTTGACAACCGAGTGGCGTCAGCAGTATATGAACTATGCGGTAACTGATTCCATACCTCCATCATATATATCTATCCGAATAATTTTTTATCTATAGGAGTTAAATGCGATGATACGCAAAGCCGTGGTCAATGCGCCAGATGTTAGTGTTTCAAGGGATTCTAGATATATACGTGAGCGTGACAAAACCTCTAATCCAGAAGTTTTAGCATATTATCAAAATTTCGAGCGCAATTTCTTTGCCACTTGCCATCAGGAACTGAGTCGAGTTGAGGACTTCTTTGCCCACAAGCTGGCCGAGGCGCGTCGCAAGCTGGAGGAGATCAGAAAGCAGCTAATCTCAATGCAGAATAATCAACGGGGGCCCGGCACCCGCCAGCTGGGCCTGGCCTGCAGCGAATTCTATTTGAGTCTGATAATGCTGCAAAATTTCCAGAGTTTGAACTATACGGCCTTTCGCAAGATATGCAAGAAGTATGATAAATATATCAAGTCCAACAGGGGTGCAATGTGGTTCCACGAATATGTCAGCGAGGCGCCATTTACCAATGAGAATGAGCTGCGCCAAATGATTTCCGAGGTGGAGCAGCTGTACACGACCTATCTGACGAACGGAGATCGCGCCAGGGCTATGGCCAAGCTGAGAGTTCCCCCATTGCGTCAGTTCTCGTCCCCAGCTCGGGTTTTTATAGCGGGTATGCTGCTGGGCTTGTTTATTGTAAGCGCTATTATAGTGATCATCTCATGTGAGTGAAAAGGAAATTCTCGGAAGTTTGGTTCACGGTTCGAGTGAATCTAGCTCGAACTGTGGTTCATTCCATTTTGTTTCAATTTTAATATAAGTCAATCTTATAAAAATTATAATTGTATCCCCAAAAAGAATACTCACTGGTTAGATCTCGGTTCTCCACAATTTCGGGAAATCTGAGTCTTAGTTCGAACTTAACTTAAAATTAAAGTCTGCCTTCAAATATAATGACTGCAAACAAATAAAAAACAACCTTCGTGCTGGTTCAAACCCGATTTCCACATAAGTGAAAAGAAGTATTGGTTCGATTCTCGGCCCTTCTCTAATGACAACATGGCCGAAAGCCGGAAACTAAATTCTCGCTGGTTCTAACCCTGCTGGCCATCTCAATAATGCTAGCATTTTGTTCCTTTTTATTTTCAACTGGATATTTTATTAAAGAAACTAGAAATAAAACCGGAATACCGAGTTCTAACCGCTTGAGTTTGAAATAAGCTTTGCAATCTTAGTAGTAACAACCCGTATATTGTTCCACTCTAGTTATTTTTCTGAACAATCAAGCGGAGTTGGTTACGGCGTTTTCCCAAATGTACCGCGGTCAGTTTTTCTGGGTGCTCAGCAGCTTCTATTTGGCCATCAATGTGTATGTCTGGCAAAATGTGGGCATCAATCACGTCCTGATCTTTGATGTGGATCTGCGCAATCAGATTTCTCCCGCTTCCTTTCTGGAGGTAGCCAGCGGTCTGGGCTATCTTTGTACTATTTCCATGCTTCTATTTTTGCATCATAATGAATTCGACGTGGTTGTGCCCTATCATTTCCCGTTAATCTCTCTGGTAGTGCCGTTTTTGTTACTCATCAATCCCATACGAATATTCAATTATCCAGCTCGAATGTGGCTAATTCGCTGCATTGGACGAGTCGTCAGTGCACCATTTTTTCACGTAACCTTTGCGGAATTTTGGCTGGCCGATCAGCTGAATTCGCTGGTCCTGTGCTTTGTGGATAATTACCAATTGAGTCGTTTCTATGTGCGCTACTATGCGAACAGCGCCAATGCATTCGATTTCGAACATGACTTCATGGTTCCAATAATACGCTGCCTGCCACCCTGGTTCCGTTTGGCCCAGTGCCTGAGACGCTATAAGGATAGCACCCGTAAACACATTACGTATCTCCTGAATGCCGCCAAGTATGCAACGAATATTATTGTGGTGATCTGCTCAACCGTTGTAATGGAAACTAATGGTAAGAATTTATTTGCGTTTATCACCCTACTCAATAAAATTGTTTTTGCTTTTTTCTTTCGTCTTCAAATAACCTGCAGCTCACTATGGTAGTGTGTTTGAGAATCCCTGGATATGGGTCTATTTGGCTGCATCTCTTGTGTCAACCGTATACTCCACGACTTGGGATTTGATTAAGGACTTTGGTTTGTTTAGGGTCTGGAGAGGTGAAAATCGATTTTTGCGCGAGCATCTCATCTATCGCAAGGTATAAGAATTGACTACAGAATTGAGAATTGAAGTGCTTACGTATACTAACCATATTGCAATTATATTTTCTAGTGGTTCTATTACTTTGCCATAGTTGTGAATGTAACAATACGTTTCGCTTGGGTCCTGGAGCTATACTTGATTGCCTACAATATTTTAAAGCCCTACAATTGCAAGACTATTGTCAGTTTGTGTGAGTTGACGCGTCGATTCATCTGGAATTTTCTACGCCTGGAAAATGAGCATTTGTTCAATTGCGGCAATTTTCGTGCAACCCGTGACATTTTCCTAAAGCCCTTGGGTACTGAAAGGAGTCAACCTTCGGAGAAAACTGACAACAGAAGTCGTGGCGTGCAGGTCAATTTGCCGAAGAAGACCCACTAGAAAGAAGTATAATTAAATTGAGCTATAGAATCAAAATTGGTTTTTCAAAAACTAATATCAATTACCATTGTATTTTATTATACTTTGAAATAAATAGGGCAGCTTAATTAGGGCTGCCTTTAATTCAGAAAGTATTATTAGAATTTATAAAGTGTATAATAGCTGAGTTAATTTGCTTTCATTGAATTCGAATATTCAATCGTTTCAGTTCAAACCAAGCGTCGTTCGAATAAACCATATGTACAAGAAAATGAAGCTCGTACCGCTCAGTCGAGCCATTTGTTCGAGCGACATTTGTTCGAGCGACATTTGTTCGAGCGAGTGATATAACCGTTATCGGCGCCAAGGCGAATCAAATGAACGGTTAGTTCGAACATGGCCGATTAGTCTGGTATTGATCGAGCTCAATCAGCTCGAGCTTATCAATCCATATATATTTTCTTGATCAGTATATGTCTGTCTACCTGCCAGTTTAGTGAATCGTATTAGTGAATCGTATTGAATATATGCCTGCCAAGGAGCTTAAACTTAGACATCCTTCCTTTTTTAAATGATGCATGCATAATTTAAGGAGAAGCTTTGTACATTTGACATTACAGTCAATTATGTACACACTTTGAATGGGCTTGTAAACAAAATGAAATTCGGCAAAACATTTGAGAGTCATTTAACAAGTGAATGGCGCCAGCAATACATCAACTATGTGGTTAGTATGAACAACATGAATGCTGTAGATTATACTCGACAGATAGCTTAAAATGTCAACTGCAGGAACTAAAGGCAATGATACGTACTGCAGTTGAGAATGCGCCCGATTCGAGAAACAAAAGCGTATACGAAATCTATTGTCTGGACTTTAAGGATGAGTTCTTCACAAGACTAACGGCCGAGCTGAAGCGAGTGAACGAGTTCTTTGAGTATAAAATGGCCGAGGCGCGACGCAAACATGCCACATTTAAGGTCAAACTACTCTACATGACCGCTCACGCCGGCGAGAAGCCTGCGGGCGTTATACCGGGTCTCCCACCACTGGCCGATCAGCCTCGGAATGTGCGCAAACTGGAACGCGCCTATAGCGAGTTCTACTTTAGTCTGGTGCTGCTCAACAATTTCCAGCAACTGAACTACACGGGCTTTTACAGGCTGAGCGAAAAATGTGACAAGTATTTCAAGCCCCCGACTGGTGTACGGTGGATTCGGACGTATCTGGACACCGCCTCCCTTAGCCTGGACGGAGATGAGCTACGTGGCATGATCATTGATGTAGAGAATATATACACACAATATATAGCTCAAGGTGATCGGGCCAAGGCAATGCAAAAGCTGAGAGTGCCGCCCTTGGGTCAATCCACATCACCGGGTTATGTCTTCTCGGCGGGCGTATTGTTGGGCCTTTTTCTAGTCTCAGCTGTAGTGTGCGTTATATCTGGTAATTACAAATCACAAAGATGTATCTATGATAAACTGACTGATTGATTGACTGAGATTAGCACATGAATGACAAAGGAGCTGATTTAACGATTCACTGACAGACTGATTGACTGACTGATAGCAAGTGTCACTTAATCCGTTCATATGACTGAATTGATAAACTTATAGCTGACTGATCCACTGACAGACTAGCTGACTGATTGAAAGGATTGTCTAATAAACCAACTGACTGAAAAAGCTACCTGAATGATTTTCTGATTGACCTACTTATATACTGTCCAATTTTTAGCTATCTAATTGAATGACAGATTGCTTGACAGACTGAAGTGACTGATTAGCTTATTCCATGAATAACTGAGTTTCTGATTGATTGATTGACTTTTAAATTGAATGACTGACTCGGATGACCGTTTGACTGTCTGAGTAGCTGATATATTAACTTGTTTCGGGACAGATCGACAGATAGGATCATATAAGCTTTTTGATTTACTTGCTGCATGATGATTGACTGATTGTTTGATCTTCTGATTGATTATGATTATAATCTGTTTGATTGTCTAACTGATTGACTGATAGGAAGCATATTTTATGGCTGTCTATTGAGAAAATTGCTTGATTAACAGAAAGATTAGCTGATATCTTTATTGACTGATTGATTGCTTGACATACTTTTACAGCCTTCACCATGGTCAACAATCCGGAAGAGTTCTCAACCTTCACACGCTTATACCGGGGTCCATTTTCATTGATGCTCTATAGTTTCTGCTTGGTCGGCAATGTCTATGTTTGGCAGAGCGTGGGAATCAATCATGTGCTCATCTTTGAGCTGAATCCACGCAATCAAACGGTCCCTGTAAAGCTTCTCAGCACAGCCAGTTTCTATAGTTATATCTGCACCCTGTCCATGCTGATGTTTATACATTACAAGGAATTTGGTGTCAAGGATTCCTTGTATTTTCCATTAATTGGACTGTTGCTGCCGCTGGTATTACTTGTCAATCCCATACCCATTCTGAATTATCCGGCTAGAATATGGATTTTGAATTGCTTTGGACGCATTCTGGCTGCTCCTTTTCGTTATGTGACCTTTGCGGACTTTTGGCTCGCCGATCAGATGAACTCCATGGTGCAGTGCATGGTGGACTTTTATCAGCTGATTCGTTTCTATATTCGCTACACCTTCAATACCGGGAATACCTTTGATTTTGAGCCGGACTTTGTGGTACCTGTGCTGCGTTGCCTGCCCGCCTGGTTCCGCCTCGCCCAATGCCTGAAACGCTATTGGGACAGTCAAGCCAAGCCAATTTCATATTTGGTGAATGCTTTTACCTACGGCTCCACGCTGATTGTTGTCATCATCTCGACCGTACAAATGGAGACAAGTCGTGAGTAACTCAAGGAACCTCTGTATTCGATGCACTTATCTTAATTCTAACTTCTCCAACAGATAAGTATGCTCAGTTATTTGAAAATCCTTGGACTTGGGGCTATATAATTAGCGCGTTCGTATCAACTATTTACTGTACTTCCTGGGATATATTACAGGACTACGGCTTGTTTAGGGTCTGGAAAGGCAGAAATATGTTTTTGCGCGAACGACTTGTCTACCCCAAGGTGAGCACATAGAACTGCTATACTCCGAAATTCCACAAGTTCTCTTCTTTTATCTAGAGTTTTTACTACTTTGCCATTATTGCGGATATCTCGATACGTTTCTTTTGGCTTCTGGAGCTATATTTAGTATCCAATAATTTGGTATTGCCCTATAATTGCAAGACATTGTCCAGCATTTGTGAGATAGCACGACGATTCATCTGGAATTTTCTGCGATTGGAGAATGAGCATTTGTACAATTGCGGCAATTATCGGGCGACACGTGATATATTTGTTTCGGCCTTAAGTTCCCGTGATGAATTGCTCGTCAACTCTCTGGTGGATGAATCGAGACGTAATTCGCTAGCATCGCGTCGGGAATTACATCTGGATAATCATACTCACTAGAGTATGAAATTTCTGTGTAGGTGGTTTTAGTCTATTCGAACTTGAGCTCAATTACTGCTCAATCTCTTAGCACTTTTATTCCAAGCCAATTTGCCCGCTCCACAAGCGCAACAATTGAGAGTCAATGAAGCGTTTACCGTACCCAAACTCAAACCAGAGCAGCCGGAGGAGTCTGAGCTCTAACAATCGAATAATCTGTTTTCTTCGAAGCCCTCGTATATAAATTGAATAAAATTAATTTCACATTTACGAAATTAAAACCACAAATGGAATTATAAATTCAACACACAGGACATGGCAGAAGTTTGCGACCAGCCGAAGTCGAAAACAAGCGTGCTCTGATTGAGGCTGCTCGACTAAAAGATACTCTGTGTAACACTTGATATTTATGGTCTTTCAAGAAACGAAAACGAGAATTCCCATCACAAATTTGAAGTCTAAAGCCTGATGAAGGACATTGATGTCTTATTTTATTATTTCTATGTTATATGCAATTCCACAACTTCATTAAAACTCTTTTCGTGCGTTTTAAACAAATATAGGGTATTGAAAAAAATAAACACAAGCCCGCAGGACAACAAAAGTTAAGCCAGACAACAAGCGGGCAGCAGCAAGGACACAGCTTTTTGGCAAAAGGACCTGACAACTTGTCAATGTGCTGTGTGGTTGCTCTCGGGGTTTATCGAGAGGCCCTGGTAGTCAGGACAACGACTGCAACGGGCAACTCTCTGAAGTGCTACCCTCCGCTTGTGTGCCTGCCTGCCATCCTGTCGCTTGGCTCGGTTCGGTTTGTGTCCTGTGCCTGGTCACGCATAAATGCATGCGAATTAGAGAGTGAACACACACGTACACGTGGGCGTCCTCCCCTTCCCCTTTTAGTAGGGGGGGGGGGGGGGGGGGCTTCTTCGGCTTAGCTCTTTAGACGCAATGCATAGGAATTTGCGCCCTCAGCTGCCGCATGTCAATTATGTGACCCACCACGCCATCAGCTTGGGGGTTACTTTGCAGCCATTAACCCACCCTAACCCTACACACGCCCCCACGTGGCTCCGTTACAAATACGTTATAAATACATTTGGGAGCACATATTGTTGCAATGTCTGGCGCTCGCAATTTGCAGTTATAAATGGCTCGTTTCCGGCTCCAGCTTTGGGCTTGGAAATGTCATCAGCTGCTGCTGTTAAAGTCTTGAGCAGGAACTTGCCCAGGACTTGCCAGGACTTGCCCCCTGACAATTTTTTAATTATATGCATAGAGCGCAACATGTTGCCAGCCAGTGGCAAGTGGCAAGTGGCACGCAGGCCAAATCAGTGCCAGCTACCGAAAACTTGCGAATTGCTGCAGGAAGTGGCGCACGCGGCAAACTTAACAAAATGTTTGCACCAGCTGCTCGCCTCGTTGCTTGTCGCTAAAAATGCTCTTGAATTTTGCATGTGCCCTCCTCAAAGCCCCCTTCTGCCAGCAACGCCACACTTCCCACTCCTCACTTTTTAGCTCGCTTATTTCGCTAATGGTTCGCTTTTCATATATATATTTTTGGGGGTTGCTTTTCCACAGCTGGTGCCTGAACAAGGCTGGACAGCGCTCGGTCTCAGTGTCTAGGTCGCCAGACCGCAGACATTATAAACAACGCACAATTTCTAAAAATTATAATGGAACGTACTAAAGAATATTGAATACCCTTACTTTAATTTAACTTAATTTTTGTTTGGATGTTCAATTAAAGCATGCACATCATATATGAGCTTATAAACAGATAAATGTTGTTATATTATTTTTCTTATCCAACCAAATTGTTATAGAATAAAATGATTATTAAATTATTATTTTAAGCTCACGTTTTATTTTTTTGGATTGTAAGGGAAATCCCTTGGAAATTTGTGCAACATTATTTTAAATACCATAAACAACAGCTAATACAAAAACTTTTCATTTTTATATGGATAAAAAGGGTATAATGTTTTTGTGCAAGAGTATGTAACAGACAGAAGGAAGCATCTCCGACGCCCTAAAATATATACATATATTCTTGATCAGTATGAATAGATCTCGAGCTCACAAATTAATGAATTAAAATTTTGAACTTAGCTCCCTTTAGTGCCCGCGCAGTACGAGTTTCTTTGCGATAATCAATAATTTGCCCCGTTTACGAGGAATCGATAAATATCGATATAAAATTCCTGTTTTTAAGAAAACCTAGTTGCGATTTTGACTCAGGTACACCAAACTAATTATTTTATAATCATAAATTAAACGAGTGCGAAATTTTTTTCTTAATGTGTTGTACGCTTCGCGATAAAATTCAAGTAGCCACGGCTAGGGTATACACAGACAGAGTGAAAGTTTTATGGTGTTGCAACTTTAAATGAACTTGCCGCATTGTTGTCGTCGGCCTGTCGTCCTGTCGTCCTGTCGTCCTGCCGTCCTGTCGCCCTGTTGCCTACCACAAACTAGGCGCAAGGACGACCATAAAAATCCATTGTAATTTATTTGTCTGCTAGTCAACGCGCCCCTCAACCAAAAATGAGGGAAAGAAGCAAAAAAAAAAACTGCAAACATTTCCGTTACGCATTTAAATTTCATAGTCAGTGAAAGTCATCAACACATGGCTGTAGGCAGGGGGAGGCCGGGTGTTGTTTGGGTTCGCCCCAACCGAAAGTTAAACGGCAACCGGTCTATGCCCTCTGGGCCCCCCTCCCCTCGCTTTATGGTAGCGCAACACAAAAGCTTCCGTTTCCTGTCTGCTCTGCTGGGATTTCCCCGAGGGTTGCAAACAGAAGCAAGAACCCACCGAGACGCAAACGACACAAACGCTTTTCTGGCTTTTTTCTCGACCAAATAAAGTTTTCTAATTTTCCATCTTCATGTTTTGAATTTTTCAGCTGCTTTTCAAGAGCTCAACACACATTTCTCCCTGCACGCCCCACACCGCAGATTTTCCACTCGTAGTATGCCAATTTTGTTTGCTTAGTGTCTCAGCTTTGGTGGAGCAGAAGTTGGGGTTTCCTTTTTTTACGACTATTTGGGTACAGATGCTCCAGGAAGGAGATGGGGTCTACGACGCTGAGCGAATCGCCTGTAATTTCCGGCAAACAAACCAATAAATCATATTAAACTTGCTTGGAATTTTGTAGAAGAAGCAGAAAAACTGCGTACCGGAAGTCTTATGACGGTGTAAGCCAAATGCAAAGGAAATCTGAGACATTTCCATTTGATATGAGCTCTGTTTGAGGTTAAGCAGAGGGTGCGGGTTTGAATTTGACTAGGGAGGCTGGAAAAAAACGATTGGCATTTCAAGAATGGCGTGGTGAAAAATGCGATGCTGTGTATTTAGGATTTACGGTATTTAATATGAAAGATCAGCTGGAGTATACAATTTTTTTCGTGTTTCAAAACCTTTTCTTGGGATTGTTAAACTGAGAGTCATTCAATACACACCATTTATGTAAAATCTAACATATGTTAAGGTTACTGTTAAGCTCTAACTGGCTTATGTTAAGCGCAATAAACTGCTGACTCGCAATGTAAAATATTAAAATCAGATACAAATTCCACATAAAAGTTAGTGTAGTTCAATAAGCAACAATTTAATATTTCTGTAGATCAGATGAAAAATATCCAAGCATTCGATAATGTCTAAAAAAATTAATGTTGAAGCTTCAACGAATGAAAATTTTGCGAATTATGTTTTGTTCTTTCAACGGTACCAACGCTTCTCATAGAAGAAAAGATTTAATAATAGAAAGAACATTTAGTTCAATAGCTGGCTACTTTAGCTTTTATATCAAGCGCTCACTGTGTCATATTACAGAATTAGGTATATCAAGTGCTAAAACTTAACAGCACAGTTAAATATGTTAACAGGTGGAGTAAAATAGTACAGCATAGAGCTGTTAGCCTAGACACAACCCAGCAGGCAGTTGTTGACCGCATAACATTGGTAACATTGGCGTTTAATGTTTTAGTTTAGACACAAACCGTAGCACAGTGGCAAGACAAATAAAAGCTGACTGCTCTGTCACGCAATGCAGGCGCTTGTCAATTTGTCGGTTACATTTTGCATTTTTTGAATAGTAAAGATATATAAAATATAAATTAAATAAATAATAAGTGCACTCACCGATTCACCATCTCATTGCCGTTCTCTAGCGATTGAGCCAACTGCTGTGGCGTTTGTTGTTGCTGCTGTTGTTGTTGTTGCTGCTGCTGCTGTTGCTGTTGGTCCTGCTGCTGATTCCTGTCGAGCAAATTGCTTGCAGCAGAAGCTCTTAAGCTGCCACCAAGGCCAATGCCCAACACGGAGCCACCGCCTCCAGAGCCAACTGCACCAGAGCCACCGCCACCGCCACCGCCACAGCCCACGCCAATGGATTTGGTTTGCTTCGCCTGCTGTTTGTAGCGGCTCAAGGCAAAGAACAGGGCGAGAACTGCCTTCAGGCGACCCGCGCAGATGTCGTTGGTTGTGATATTGTCCAAGCCGCCCACCGATTGACTTCTCAGCACGTGCAGGCACGAGTTGACGTTGTCGTACTGCAACAGACCAAACACAAATGAGTCCAAAGTGTTCAAGGTGGCAGCATTTAAAGCTTAAGTATGAATATGCACAGTACAAAATATTTGGGCTTAAACTCAAATAGAATTTGTTGTTAAATTTGGTTGACGAATTGAACCTAAAAATGATTTTGTTTTGTGAACATAAAGGCAATAAAATAATATTAATTTTACCTATGTTTATAGATACGATGATGGGTTTGAACTGGCGTTTTCTCTTTTGTCAAACGAAGGCATAAGCACTGAGCACAAGAGTAACAAAATAAAGAAATGGAATTCAAATTGTAAGTGCAAAAGGATTCAAGTTTTATTGAGCTGGCAATTTAAGCCAAATACAATTTGAATTTTAAAAAAAGGCCTAACGAACGTAAATGCAGGCCAGAAATTTTTTACAGTGCAGTTAATCCCAGCTGCAAGTTGATGAGTCACAGTCCCTTAAGCCACCTAATATATATGTAAATAGAAATCCTAGCGCCAGTTTATCTTGCAGCTAAACTCTAAGCGCCATTAACGAGACGATGTCGTGATTTTGACAACTCGAAAGAACGTGGCCCGAACTTGACTAACAAATGGCTTTTTTATTGTTAATTTGCTTGAACGTTTTTAACTGCTTCACGCACAACACGCACCAAACGGTCCAAACGGACCGCCCGATTCCAATACCGAGCCCGCAACCCAAAACCCAAAATCCCGAACCCAATCTGAAGTCAAGGAATAAAGAGCAGAACGACAACAAAAAAAAAAATTGACATTAAGATAAAGTGCTCAGACGTCAACTGCTGTAAAAATGTGGCACACAGCTCGTGTGTCAAACGGAAAAATATACGAAACCAATCATAGAAACGGGAAATACTGCAACTAAGAGATTCCCTTTAGAATTTTTGTGGAACAGAGTATTACAGAGAGTATTAATTTTAAATCTAAACTTATAGGACTTATAAATAATAATGTACGTGGATA